ATAATAATTAATTATTTTGTTAGAACTCGATAATTATCCTAATTATATTTTATATTTTTTATATTTTACAATGAGATGTTTATCCTCTATTTGATTATGTTTATCCGTAGTTAGTTATACGAATTCAAACATCGAGCTTTAATAAGTTGTACTTATGCATAATTTACTTGTAATCTTGAATTTTAAGTAACATGCACCAATATACAGTACTTTATGCATAACAAAAATATATCGATATTCGTATCAAATTAACTATTTAAAACTCCTCATTTTTTGTGTAATTTTTTAATTCAATTTTTYTATTATAATTTAATTTAGGTACAATAACGAAATAATTTATATTTGGTTTAATAATATAATTTTCTGATAAAGATAATAATTAATTATTATGTTAGAACTCGATAATTATCCTAATTATATTTTAGATTTTTTATATTTTAAATTGAGATGTTTATCATCTATTTGGTTATGTTTATTCACAGTTAGTTATCCGAATTCAAACATCGAGCTTTAATAAGTTGTACTTATGCATAATTTACTTGTAATATTGAATTTTAAGTAATATGCACCAATATACAGTATTTTATACATAACAAAAATATATCGATATTCGTATCAAATTAACTATTTAAAACTCCTCATTTTTTGTGTAATTTTTTAATTCAAGTTTTTTATTATAATTTAATTTAGGTACAATAACGAAGTAATTTATATTTGGTTTAATAATATAATTTTCTTATAAAGATAATAATTAATTATTTTGTTAGAACTCGATAATTATCCTAATTATATTTTATATTTTTATATTTTAAATTGAAATGTTTATTCTCTATTTGATTATGTTTATCCGCAGTTAGTTATACGAATTCAAACATCGAACTTTAATAAGTTGTACTTATGCATAATTTACTTGTAATATTGAATTTTAAGTAATATGCACTAATATACAATACTTTATGCATAATAATAATATATCGATATTCGTATCAAATTAACTATTTAAAATTCCTCATTTATTGTAATGTTTTAATTC